TCCTTCCACCACAAACCCAGCAGCAAACACCCAAATCCATCACCCAGACAACGTATTTAGATCCCCTTCCATTTCCCGATTTCGTATGTTTTTAACAAACTGCTCAGGAATAAAAAAAAAAAAAATAATAACTCAGTGTTTTTTCCCCCCCGAGCGGTTGGGAGGAGCCTGTTCCTTCGGCGGAAAATTTCCTCGACAAATTTTGGTCACAAAATTATTTATGATGGAGTCAAAGGTGGCATCACCTACGGCCGAGGAGGCACCCACCTTCCATCCCAGGAAAAGTTAGTGATGATTTAGCATCGCCCCGGGCAGGGAGCAGCCGAGGCAGAGGTGAGCTCAATCCCAATTTACTTGGGAGGGAATTTTGATAGGATTTGCACATTTTTAGCCAAAAAAAGGGAGTTCAGAGACTGGTGCGTTACAAGCAACCTCGGCCTGCGGGGGACAGACCACCCGTCCTCTTCGTTAGGGTATTTTTTAGTGACCAGTTGAGTTAAAATTAGTATTTAACAAAACCCCTGAGAACTCCCAATGAGCAGCATCCAGCAGAAACAACTCACCTGGCAACACACTGCGTGAACCTCACTTGAGCAGACGGAGAATATTCCTCTGTGGCCCTGAGCCCAAACCAGCAAAATCTGAACCGCTGAAGAAAGAACATTTTCCAGCTTATTTTGAATAAAAACAAACAAAAAAACCATCTAAAATTCCCTGGAAATAGAATTTCTAAGGACTTCCCATCTCGGAACCACCAAGACAATTAACTCCTCAAGGCTCATCCAGGGCAGGAGGTATAAATAAATAAATAAAAACGCCCCACCTTTGTGTTTTAAGATTTAAAAAAAAAAAAAAAGATTTATTTTACAGTCTTATAAAGCAGCTTTACATTAAGCACAAACGTTGACCCATTTACTTTGTATAGAAACATAGTAGAACCTTTCCCTCTGCAAAAAGTCCCGTCTCGCCGTATATAAAACTATCGTGTGCACATTGTGCTTCGACTGCCGAGTCTGTACAGCTTTACAGAGGACTGCCCTTCACAAGAGCATCCTGTAAACAATTTATTGCATATTTAACACATGGTGTAATATCCCACATGTAAAAACAAACCCCCTCCCCCCCCCCAAAAAAAAGAAAAAAAAAAAAAGAATAATGTAGAAAAAAAAATATAAAGTACAATTACAAGGTGAATGAAAATAGCAGCTTTCAGTGAATTGTCTCGCACGATGGCTGAGAAAAAGAGCACTGTCACACTTGGAGGGTTGTGCTTGTGTGTCACTGGTTTGCACGTACCCACGCGCACTATGGTTTCCACGACATCTATGTACAGGAAGATTAAACAGATCTCAGCGACCAAGGCCTTTCTCTGTTTGACGATGAAGACCAAGACCTTTCCTGTTTTGAAGACCAAGACCTTTGTCAGTTTGAAGACCAAGACCTTTGTTGTTTTGAAGACCAAGACCTTTGTCGTTCTGAAGACCGAAAACAAACCAAAAAAAAAAAAAAAACCCAACTGAAATGAACTCCATGAAGTTATGGGCACCAATGTCCAATTATCCTCTTCCACTGCACAACTCAATTAAAATAAATAACAGGAGAACCCCTCCCACACTAACTCGTTTCGATTCTACAACCTGGGATGGTGATTGGTTTAATTCCCACGTGTGCTAAGGCCACCAAAAGTGCGATGAAGACGGTTAGGACAGGGTGGTCTGAGGGGACCGATGGCGTTGGCATGGCCAACCTACGCTTCTGAGCTCATCTACCCAACTGCTGCCTCTCACCAGGCACTGAAAGATCAGCCACACCGCAATTTTTCAACTGGCATTCGTTAAAAAAAACAACAACAACCAAAAAAAAGGAAATTGTGGCCTCCGTAAGGCACCGATACCATCTCTTGAGCAGTCCCCAAAGAGTCTCTCTAGATTCTCCGAATCCCAAATGGGCAAAAGGTGGAGGAAACACGCAGAAGAAAGATGGGTGTGTGTTTGCAGTAAGGACCAGTGAAAAGGAAGCACATTTTTCTGGGTTTCGTGTGTGTGCGCGCGTGTCTCTGTGTACACATGGATGTAAAAAAAAAATTCACCTCTGCTACCTTTGGTATTGAAATTTCTCCGTGACATCCACTGCTCGTGAATCGATGTCATGGCAGCGTGCGTTTGCAATGATCAAGTAACCACAAAGCTGTTCCAAACATCCACGAGAAACAGAAAGAGCATCAAAAAATAGAGAAAAGAAGAAAAAGAAGAATCAAGACGCATATTGTCCTTGTGCCCAGCCTTTTTGTGATTTGAACGAGCTTTGTCCTCAGTATGAACATCTTAAGCTCAACCCCCACCTCCAGGTACAACACGTAATGGGATCAGTGGAAAAACCCCAAAGCTAATCCATGTCCTTCCCACCCCAGCATCGTCGGGAGCTCTCCAGTCTGGGCCTCTTTGAGCAAACCCAACACGGTATCTGCTGCACAAACAAACCACCCCGGAGCTAACAGAATCCCAGAACTGTAGGAGTTGGAAGGGACCTCTCGATGTCATGGCAGCGTGCGTTTGCAATGATCAAGTAACCACAAAGCTGTTCCAAACATCCACGAGAAACAGAAAGAGCATCAAAAAATAGAGAAAAGAAGAAAAAGAAGAATCAAGATGCATATTGTCCTTGTGCCCAGCCTTTTTGTGATTTGAACGAGCTTTGTCCTCAGTATGAACATCTTAAGCTCAACCCCCACCTCCAGGTACAACACGTAATGGGATCAGTGGAAAAACCCCAAAGCTAATCCATGTCCTTCCCACCCCAGCATCGTCGGGAGCTCTCCAGTCTGGGCCTCTTTGAGCAAACCCAACATGGTATCTGCTGCACAAACAAACTAACCACCCCAGAGCTAACAGAATCCCAGAACTGTAGGGGTTGGAAGGGACCTCTGGAGACCATCCAGTCCAACCCCTGGACAGAGCAGGTCCACCCAGGGACCTCTGGAGACCACCCAGTCCAACCCACGGCCAGAGCAGGGCCACCTAAACCAGGTCCCACAGGAACGTGTCCAGGGGGGGTTTGAATATCTCCAGAGAAGGAGACTCCACCACCTCTCTGGGCACCCTCTTCCAGGGCTCTGCCACCCTCAAAGTGAAGAAGTCCCTCCTGATTTTGACATGGAACTTCCCATGTTCCAGTTTGTGCCCATTGCCCCTTGTCCTGTCACTGGGCACCACTGAGAAGAACCTGACTCCATCCTCTTGCCCTGCACCCTTCAGCTATTGCTCAGCATCGATGAGGTCCCCTCTCAGTCTGCTCTTCTCCAGCTGAACAGCCCCAGGTCCCTCAGCCTTTCCTCAGCAGAGAAAAGCTCCAGCCCCTCATCATCTTTGTAGCCACCACTGGACTATCTCCAGTAGTTCCATTTCCTTCTGGAACTGAATCTTTGTAGCCACCACTGGACTCTCTCCAGTAGTTCCATTTTCTTCTGGAACTGGGAGGGGGGAGGATGACCTCCCTCAACTTGCTGGCCACACTGCTCTTAATGCACCCCAAGAGGCCCTTGGCCTTCTTGGCCACCAGGGCATTTTGCTGGCTCACGGTCACCCTGTTGTCCACCAGGTCTTTTTCCGCAGAGCTCCTACAATGATTGGGTTTACTCTTCCGGATCAAGGTGGCAGATGAACAAATGGGTGGAAAGGATCAATAAATAGGAAAAAGAAACTGGTTTCTTCAGCGTCACGGCATGCGGTGAGAGCGTTTGGGCCAAAGACAAAGCCCAGCCAAGAAGCCAGCGCTGGAGATGAAGTGACCCCTTACACCATGAGCAAGACAACAGGCAGAGGTGAAACTTGGTACTAAAGCACAGGGGGAGCTGGAAAGCCCTCAGGGGGGGATTTTTAATTTTTAAAATGCTTGATATTCACAAGCAGGTTAAAAATGAAAATCACCACATGAAAACCTTAATTCCAACTGAATTTCCTGCGCTACCAAAACGAGCTCCATGTCACGCTCGGGAGTTCAAGACAAGTCTCCCAAGGAATGAAGCTGCCTCTCAGAAGAAACCTCTCAGATGTAATTAAAAAAGAAAGGACAAAACATCGGGCTTCGTGACAAGAGATTCCAGCTACCAGGGAGGACACGACACCAGCAAACCTGATGGATGATGGCAAATTTGGCTTCCAAAGCGGTGGGATGGTTGCAGGCATTGGGAGGTCCATGAGCCCCACCGGGTTGTGCTTTCGTGAGGTGACCTCCCGGCCCGAACGGTGTCTGCGTGTTCTCCATCCACACGTCTGTCAAAAGCCAACTGGAAGAAAAAAAAAAACCAAACACCCAAAACCCAACCCACAAAAGGTGTATTTTTCACCCCAAGGAAAGAAACCCTATGAAAAAAAAAAACCCAAAACACCTTTAAAAAGATATCACTGTCCACTCCCCGGGCTACATGTAAATCCACATCCACGGTGTGAACACCACACGATCTGTTATGCTCTTCCAACACAGACACACATGACTCCATTTTAAAAGAGGCCACAGACTAACTTTTCAGGCAAGTGCTGGACTTTAGGGACCTGTTATGGCTTCTGCAAATATTTTCCTATGAAAAGGAAAAAAAAAAACCAAACCAAACCAAAACCAACCCAAAAAACGTCCCCAAATCTCAGGAGCATAAAGGGGTGCAGACAGTGGAGCACTAAGGACAGGTGAAGTTCCCGAATCCTACCCATCAGACCCGAACATTTTCACACTGGAATGCAATGGTTTCAGGAGATCAGTCTTTTTTAAGGATCACTTCTTTGAAACGGTCCGTAAAAAATTGCCGCCGGGACCTTGGAAGCTGTCCCTGTGGGAAGCAGCAGGTCCCAGGGGTTTGGTTGTAAAGCTCTAGTTGTGCTTTGCCCGGCCGCCTCGCAGGTAACTCTTCCACCTCTTGACGAACTCTTTGAAGATGGGGGACTCGTCGATGGTGCTGAGGAGCTGGAGCTGGTTGATGTGGGTGGTGTGATAGTCCCAGCGGGCCAGGTTGGGAGCGGTGCCCAGCATGAAGTGCCTCAGGTCGTAGATGGTCCCTGAGCCCGTGTCGTAGAGGGGTAGCATGGCCTTCAGAGACTCCATGCCTCGCTCGTAGAGGACCTGTGCCTCCTTCCCCAGCTTCTCCCCGGCTGTTTCTTTTAAGTCATAGAGGCCGATCAAGGAGTACATGAAACCGTTGAGGACGAAGGAGCTGGGGGAGGTGGGGTACTCCTCGTACCAGTCGTGCCGGTTCATGAAGATGGCCTTCACCCCGCGCTGCTCCGACGGCAGCTTGTAGGGCGCCGTGGCCCTCAGGGCCGCGCTGAGGAACGCGTGGTCCTTCGTCAGCAGGTAGGCCCTCACCAAGGTGGAGATGGCCTGTCCCTGCGCCATGGCCGAGTACCAACCCGGGTCCAAGGACTTAAATCCTTCCCCCAGCTTCCTCGTCACCATGATGGGCCACCCACCCCTCTCGTCCTGGTTCCTCACCAGCCAGTTGCTGGCGGCGAAAAAAGCCGCCATGTGAGCGGTGGTCGAGATGGTGACGTTATCGAGGAAGCCTCTACCCTTCGCCACCAGCCTCACCACTCTCTTGGGCATGATTTTGGTTTGCTTCACAGCTTTCGTGTTGGAGAGGCCCACCCCTTTGCGCAGGTCGGTGACCAGGTCCCTGGTGAGGGTGCTCCAGGTAGTCCTGGGGCCCACGCCGTAGTAGATGTCTCGGTCCTTAAAAGCGATGAGTTGGGTGTTGGAGACATAGTGCACGGTGAAGAGCTGGTTCTTCTCTGTCGTCTCGAGCACCACGGAAATGCTCCCGTTCGTTACGAATTTGAGATCAAAAGAAATAATAAAATCGCGGCTGTTCCCAAGCTGCAGAGATACTCCCTCCGTGGGTTCTGTAAAACAAACCAAAAAAAATATATAAAAAGCCTCGTTCAGCGGGAAAGCACTCACTCACTCACTTCTCCAAAAGGTTTAAGGTGTGAACTGCAGTTTCCAGGGGTAAGTCCTCTCACCGGGCGGGATCCAAAAGCTTTTAGGGCAGCCCATCAATAATTCAGTGGCTCTTTCTGCGTGCTACCATCCATTATTAAATTAAGCACAGAAGTCAATCGGGGTCCTGCAGCAGCGGGGAGGACTGGTTTGCCTCCTCCATTAACCCGCTGCAGCGCTTCGTGGTGGAGCAGGGCTCCTTCAGATGCTTCTGGAACCCCGTGGATGGAGGGACAGACACCAGCAGGACCTGGGGTATGGGCCAGGGCCACCAACAGGGACATCTTACTGGTGATGGGGTGACCTCGATGCTGCCATATTTTCCTCTTCCATAATTCAACATACAAACCAACAACCGCCCTTTTGTTCCAAACTGAGAATTTCCCTTGGCAGAAAATACCCCAAAAACACGGCAGTGGCCTTTCAGAATAAAGCTCCTCTTTCAACTAAAAAGCCAGGAGAGCCAAGAAGCAGGTATTTAGGATCCCCCGGGACTAATATTTAAATCTGTGACTTTTTTCTTTTCCAACCTGACAGTTCCAAAACCCAGCACACTGATTAGTTTAATGGGGGGGTGGGTGGGAGGGGGGCAAGACAAAAATATAGAAAAACTAATGTGTTAAAAGTATTTAGTAAACCTCTCCATTGGCAAAACTCGGTTTAATTAAAAAAAAAAAAAAAATTAAATAAAGCTCCTAGGCAATACCACATAATGAAATCCAGTGTTCTCTCGCAGGCTGAATTTTAAAATGTAAAAAATCAACTCCTTCCTCAAAAAAACCTCTCCTAGAAGATCAAAGGGCTAATTAGCTTGTAAGGCTGTGTGCAAATCCTGTGGCTTTGAAGGCAGAGAGGGATGATAAACACTTAAAGACAGTCATCTGAAATTAACGGCGGTTCCACAGAATAAAATGGGTTCCTTTCTGCTATTTCTCCACCTGGGAAACGCCTCCTAAATATTTCTAGGTGTAACCACGGAGTTAGAGCCACCTTCCCTGTGCAGTGGAGACTCTTCCCTGTCTCCCAAACTAATGGATGGTGTTCTGCAAGGTCTTGTGCTGGAAGGTGCCGTTGTACAGCACCTATTATTTTGACTGAATGTCATGGTTTTTCCCCCAATCTTTTAAACCCAAAGCTTCACTCCGTTGAGTTCTGGAGACCGGCATCGGCTCCAGGAGAAGCCGCCCAGCGCTTCGTTACGACAACATTTTGCTCTGATGAAAAATGTAATTAAAAAAAAAAACAACCCTCCTCACTCACAATTCCTCTCAAGTAAGTTTTATGGTGCCTTTTAAATAAACGCTTGTGTGATAACGAAGTGAATTATAATAGAGGGGGTGGGAGAAGGAGTTTTCAGAGAACTAAAGGCTGCCTGTTGTTTGCACGGCCTGAAGCGCCCATAAATCCATTACTTAAGGGCATCTAAGAGGAGAGGGCACCGCAGGCTCCCAGCCCCACAGATCACTCTGCCATCAATAAAGGATGAGGAGAGAATCCCTAACAGATCTTTTAGCCTCTCCTCTCCCCGTATTTACCTCTTACAAAGACACAAGAGTGTTCGACAATCTTTCCCCTGGAGACCCAGGCCTAAGGTGCCAACTGAAAATTACTTCATTGTCTTTTTAAGTAATGGGCTCATTAATTCTAATGGGTATTGATTGAGGAAAAATGCATTACATCCTTATTAATGAGCCCGTCCCAGCACAAAGGAAAGTCTCGCATGGAATAATGAATTTCCCCCTTAAGTAGGAAACAGAAGAGGGTAAATGGAAGAGAAGGGCAACACAAGGCCTCTTGCCCCTCTGCAGGGGAAGAGCAGCCCGGGTGCAGCCCCTCATCTTCACCATCCTCCTCCCTGAAGTCCTCTGCAAGGGGCAGCTTAAGGCCCCTCGGGTTAACCAGAACCCAGATCCCAAATTCTGCAAGGACAGTCGCATCCCAACGAAGAGAGATCCCGGTTCCACCCGGAGACCTGCTCGTGCTCCGCTCCCTCCAGCCTGAAAATAGACCTTATCTATCACCCTCAACATCTGCTTATCACACGTCAGCTCCGTTTCCCAGCCTTCACAACTAGTCCCTTTTTTTTTTTTTATTATTTTTTTTGCTTCTATTTTGAGACAGAAGCTGAAAGGCTCAGGAAACGTGACCGTAGCTTCTCACTGCCCTCCACGAGTACATTCGCCTATTTTTTTCACCAAAATAATGTTGAAAAAGCAGCGATGGAGAGAAACGGGAGGAAAAGGAAAACTTGGGAGGTAGAGAAATGAGATGATGCTCTCAGGTGAGACCTTAAGGACGGGAAGTCACACAGGATAAAGGAAAACACGTTAATCCCAGCAAATTAAAGCTCCCCTGGTACCGGCAGCGTGCCCAGGTGGCCAAGAAAGCCAATGGCATCCTGGCTTGTATCAAAAATAGTGTGACCAGCAGAAGCAGGGAGGTGATTGTGCCCCTGTACTCAGCACTGGGGAGGCCACACCTCGAGTATTGTGTCCAGTTTTGGGCACCTCAATCCAAGAGAGATCTGGAGGTGCTGGAGCGAGTGCAGAGGAGGGCAACGAAGCTGGTGAGGGGGCTGGAAAACAAATCATATGAAGAGCAGCTGAAGGAGCTGGGGCTGTTTAGTTTGAGGAAGAGGAGGCTGAGGGGAGACCTCATCACCCTCTACAACTACTTGAAAGGACACTGTAGAGAGGTTGGTGCTGGGCTCTTCTCACAGGTAATTAGTGACAGAATGAGAGGGAACGGCTTCAAGCTCCAACAGGGGAGGTTTAGATTGAACATTAGGAAGGAATTTTTCACCCAAAGAGTGGTCGGGCATTGGAACAGGCTGCCCAGGGAGGGGGGGGAGGCCCCATCCCTGGCTGTGTTTAAGGGCCATTTAGATGCAGTGCTGAGGGACATGGTGTAGGGGAGGACTTTGTAGAGTAGGGGAGATGGTTGGACTCGATGATCCCAAGGGTCTCTTCCAACCTAGATGATTCTATGATCTCTGGGGATCTGAGATAACCCACCTGGAGCGATGAACTGTTTGACGCTGGTGAACTTGGCTTTGTCTGAGACGGTGGAGAGGGAGCAGCCTTTGGGCACCGTCCAGTCCCCAGCCCTGCCAGCCCTGTCCTTCTCCTCGGCCGTTTCATACACCTCCACGTGAGGTGGCTTCTCCGTCAGGTTCTTGCTGTAGTGACTCAAGCCGTACTGCGCGATCTGGATGGGGTAGAAATAGCCTTGAGGTCCCCACTGGGTGGATAAGGGCACGCCTGTGAGAAGAAAAGGAAGAAAAAGTAGTGTTTTTATCAATATATTTTCAAAAGCCACTCTCCCTCCACACCCCACCGCTCCCGGCAAACGCTATTTCTAGGCTTCACCGTTTTCTTGCTGTAGTGACTCAAGCCGTACTGCGCGATCTGGATGGGGTAGAAATAGCCTTGAGGTCCCCACTGGGTGGATAAGGGCACGCCTGCGAGAAGAAAAGGAAGAAAAAGGAGCAGTTTTATCAATATATTTTCAAAAGCCACTCTCCCTCCACACCCCACCACTCCTGGCAAACGCCATTTCTAGGCTTCACCGTTTTTAGACTCCAGGAAAGTCCTGGTGGAGGGTGAACTGCTCCCACTTACACCGAGATTCCTAACCAGGCAAAACTAAGCAGATTTGAGTGGCAGAGAAGTCCTTATCGTGGCCTTCCACACATTCTCATTTCATTATTTACTGAACCATCATCCTTATTATAAAATACATTTAAAATGGCCAAACAGATTTTTCCCCCTCCCCACCCCAGAGACCACTCAATCTCCAAACGATGTCACATCTAACACAAGCCCTTTAATGCCACATAAATCTTTGCAAATTTAGTGTGTGTGTGTCATTACTAGATTTTGGGAAGAGTTATTTGATGCTAAAAGAGCATTTTCACCCAACATCCACAAATCTGCTCCAATTCCTTTTCGCCAGCTCCCAGGAGCTGCAGCCTCAGGTTTTGGGTGAAAAAACCCTCCTTCACACCATAAATTGCCCATTGCATCACCGGCTGTGTGGGAAATGAAAATAAACTGTGTGGAGGAGACTTATTTATACCCACACCTCCATAAGCAAGCAAACGCACCGCTCTTAACACAGGGATAAAAACAGGATTCTCCTAAAGTCTGGAGTTTTATTTGGAACTCTAAATACGAATCCAAAGTGGGAATATATCATTGTGACCCTCCTGCAGGAAACCAAGGATATTTAGCGCCGTGAAACCTTAGCGCTCACGTAAGCCAAGAAAAAAAAAAAACAGAAGATGAAAATAAACAAGTTGACATTTGCACCATTTTGCCCCTTGGCAATGTCAAGCTCAGAAACCAATTTCTCCTGAAATGCGGTACAATGAAAAGATTACTTAAACTAAATGTAAAAAAGATACATTTTCATGCATATTTTGGTGCTTTGTGTTCCTAATAAATATGACTGATGGAGTGGGGATGGCTTCTTGCTGCCTAAAGAGGAAACCATCACGGGAAATATTTAAATACTGTGTATTATCTCCACTCCTGGAAGCCAGCTCGCTTATTAACGCTAAGCATTTTCAGTTAAGGGTGCATTCACTGAGACTGAAATATGCAAAAAAAAAAGAAAAAAAAGAAATCTGCCTTAAAAGCTTTACTTGAAATTTATACAAGATGACAAGATTAAATTCTCCAGGTCATAGGACACAACAACACGTTAACCTTGCAGAAAGAGAGAAGGTGAAAATATAATACGAGGGTGGTTGTTTTTTTTTATCATGCAACAAATGAGAATCTCTAGGGCTGGAATGATGCAAGGAAAACCTATAATTGTCTTGAGAAGGTGTTTGAATATTAAAATCCCTTCCCTACAAACTATTTCTCTCCCCCATCCCATTTGCTGGATGCCAGTAACTCTATTGCCTTTGCCAAAACCCTGGCTCTGGCACCACGTTTCATACTGACAGCTCTTAAATCACGTGCTGCAAAAAAAGAAAAAAAAAGCAAGGTTTTTAGATAAATAACCACATGGTGGAGCGTTAAAACTGGTTGGTCTCTCGAGGTTAAAGCAGAGAGTGGTGACACACAGCACCTCCCCTGCACATCTGGAAAGAGGCTGCAGAATTTGTCCCAATTCTCAAGCAGTTCTTACTGAAATTCGGCTTTTTTTTTTGTCCTTGGCAGATGTAATGAGGACAAGAGTTAAAAAAAATAATAAAAATGTGAAGGTAACATTAAAAAAAAAGCCAAAAAAAGCCCCCAAACAACTGGTATACTCTATGCATTGATTTATCTGACTCCTTTGCAGACAAATTAATTGCCTGACGTGGCTTCCTGCAGTGACCGTATCATGGGAAGGGCTCATCTCAACACAGCACAGCATCATCAATCACTGAGATGCATGAAAATGAATATATTTTTTAATCCTTAAGTGAAATTTGGTCTTTAATTTACAAGGGGTCATAGCGTTGCACTCCCTAACAGTTTTATAAAGTCGTTAACTTTTTTAATATGGAGCTCGACAGGAATTTTCTGCGATGAAATCTCTGCCACGACGCGGGGAGACCTTGCGTCCTAATTACTGATTGCACGCTTTACTAAAAGTGCAAATTGGAAAGGTTTTACTGCATATTAATTTGATTCAGGGATGCTTCAAGGGCTGGAGAGTTTTTTGACCCTTCTGTGGTTTTCTGAAACCTCCTCTCCTCGCGCAGCAGCACCATTTGCAGGGCATGGGGGGGAGATGCTGCACCTATAAAATCTCCAATTTTATATTTTCCAGTCATTGCAGCACCCTGAGAGGAACGCTGTGTCACCAGCAATGCCAAAATCCAGCAGCAGCACCAGAGGAGAAGCCTCCTGGCACCCCTGGAGTTTGCTGCGACCAGTAAAACCAGAGAGGCAGGATGGGAGCTGGGAAAACCCAGCACAGAGACCACCCACCATTTCTCAGAGTGGGTGGATTTCTGCAGCACCCTGAGAGGAACGCTGTGTCACCAGCAATGCCAAAATCCAGCAGCAGCACCAGAGGAGAAGCCTCCTGGCACCCCTGGAGTTTGCTGCGACCAGTAAAACCAGAGAGGCAGGATGGGAGCTGGGAAAACCCAGCACAGAGACCACCCACCATTTCTCAGAGTGGGTGGATTTCTTAGGAGTCTATCGCACCAAAATTAACATCATTTTGTGTCTCAAGTGATGGCAGCAAGTTTAAAATAGCCTCCTGGCACCCCTGGAGTTTGCTGCGACCAGTAAAACCAGAGAGGCAGGATGGGAGCTGGGAAAACCCAGCACAGAGACCACCCACCATTTCTCAGAGTGGGTGGATTTCTTAGGAGTCTATCGCACCAAAATTAACATAATTTTGTGTCTCAAATGATGGCAGCAAGTTTAAAATATTTTAAAAAAAAAAAATATATATAAAAAAGTCGACACAAACCTTCAACGCCACTTATACACTTCACTCTGTCCCGAACCTCTACGTTGTAGCCCTCGAAGGACATGAAGACCCCGTCGGGGTGGTAAGGTGCTCGCTGTGTGTAAACTTTGGAGTAGCTATGAGAGAATTCAAACCTGTCATAACCATCGTACTGAGCAATTTTCCCATAAACCTCAAAGTATTTCTCTACCCAGCTGAACGGCAGGAAGACCTCGTTGCCTTCCCTCCTCCCTTTGACGGTGTGCTCGTCATTGATCAGACAGTCAATCTCCTCGTACTTCAGCCCCGGGGCTTTGTTGAAGCCCCCAGCGATGGGGGGAGCTTTTTGCTGTTCCTGGGGAGATGCCTCCTCGCTCTGCTGCCGGGACGGGTCGCTCTCGGAGGCGGCGGCGGCGGCTCCTCCTCGACGGTCGGGGCCGGGGAGGCTCCGGGGGAAGGGGCCGGCGCGGTCGGAGGAGCACCGGTTCCAAAGCAGCACCATCAGCAGGGTGAAGAGGGCACAGATGAAGATCAGAGTCTTGTAGTTGACCCGAGCTGCCAAGCAACGCATATTCACACCATACCTGGGGAAACAGAGAGGGGAGGGGATTTTTAGAAGCGATGATTAACAGCCGGAGCTGTTGGATCTGCTAATTGGGAGCCTCTCTGGTGGGAGCACCTGGTAGGATGAGGAGCAATGGCTTCAAGCTGGAGGGGAACAGATTTAGACTGGAGATGAGGAGAGGGTTCTTCACTGTGAGGGTGGTGGAGCACTGGAACAGGTTGCCCAGGGAGGTGGTTGAGGCCCCTTCCCTGGAGATATTCAAGGAGAGGCTCGATGAGGTCCTGGGCAACCTGGTCTAGTTGGGCGTGTCCTTGCTGACTGCGGGGGGGGTCGGACTAGATGGCCTTTGGAGGTCCCTTCTGGCCTGGACAACTCTATGACTCTATGACACAGAATCACAGGATGATACGGGGTTGGAAGGGACCTCTGGAGATCACCCAGTCCAACTCCTGGCCAGAGCAGGTCCACCCAGAGCAGGTCCCACAGGAACGTGTCCAGATGGGCTCTGAATGTCTCCAGAGAAGGAGACTCCACCACCTCCCTGGGCTCTGCCACCCTCAAAGTGAAGAAGTTCCTCCTTGTGTTGAGATGGAACTTCCTATATTCCAGTTTGTGCCCATTGCCCCTCATCCTGTCCCCGGGCACCACTGAGAAGACCCTGACCCCATCCTCTTGCCCCCCACCCTTTAGCTATTGCTCAGCATCGATGAGGTCCCCTCTCAGTCTGCTCTTCTCCAGCTGAACAGCCCCAGGTCCCTCAGCCTTTCCTCAGCACAGAGATGTTCCAGTCCCTTGAGCATCTTCGTAGCCTTCCCAGGACCCTCTCCAGCAGTTCCCTGTCCTTCTGGAAGTGGGGAGCCCAGAACTGGTCCCAGTGCTCCACATGGGGCCTCCCCAGGGCAGAGCAGAGGGAGAGGATGACCTCTCTCTATCTGCTGGCCACACTCTTCTTGATGCCCACACGATGGGGTTGGGTGGGAATGGGACAGGTGGGGGCACCTGGAAAAGAAGTGGGGTTTTTCCAGCTCTCCATAAGCAACAAGATCAAAGGTACCAAGTCACCTCCTGCCCGCGACAGCAGATTGTCTCACCCAACGCAAAGGATGCAAAGAAACAGGGGCAATCACTTCTAAATTAAAAGCCGGATGTTAACGAGACGCTCAGCGGCCACCGGGACCCTGCAAATAAACTCAGAAGAAGGAGAGACCCCCAGCAGAACATACCCCCACCCACCCCACCCCACAGCAGAGGGATTTCCAACAAAACAGCCCTACAGTCCAACCCCGGAGCCTAGAAATATTCCTAGTTCCCACCACGGAAATCACAGACTCCTATGTAAAAACAGATGGTTATTTTTGCCTTTTTTTTTTTTAAATTTTTTTTAAATCATAAGCTATAAACATTTTCTGAGATGGAGCTCAGCCACCAACGGCTGGATCGATTCTCGACGTTACCGCCCCTCAAACGTGCTTTTAGACCAATAATATGTGTGAGGAGGAGGAGGAGGAGGAGGAAGGGAAGAGGGCTGGGGCGGGGGGATGACAGAGCCAGAGCCCAGGGAGGGAAAGGAGGGACTGGGAAAGTTTGGGATCATCCCCCGGGGACAGGATGGATCTCCATGGGCTGACGTGTCCCGCTCCCCCAGGAGACAGCAGAAAATATGTAACCCCTCTCCGGGGATTTTATTTTATTTTTTTAGTCTGCAAGATAAACGCACAAAGCACACTTCAACAAGGAGCCAGGCAAGGGAAATAAACCCGCAAATTGAGGCGATTTCAGCACATTTTGCTCAGGAAACCCTACTTTTGCTGAGGAGTGAAGAAGTCCTTTCAAACAGACGACACGTGCGTTTTCCAGAGGCGCAGGAATATTGCGGATACACTTCATAAAATCCCTATTAAAGAGAAGTTTAATTTCCCCACCCCGCTAAGCTGTAGCATCCGAGCCGATGAGCTCAGTTTTAAAGCTTTGCTTAATTACAGCCCCATCTGACACCCCCGGGGGGAGGTCACAGCAGCGTGGTCCGGCCGTGATTTCAACGAGGAGCCCCAAGAACGGCCGCAGATATTGGGGACATTTGCTGAGAGGCAGGAGTCAACCCCACAGCAATTAAAAGGAGTTTCACCCCCAGTTCCACACACCCTCCCTCCCCCCACCTCCCTCTTAAATGGAAATAATCAATTATCTCTCACCAGTTCTATGCTTCCATACTGTAAGCACCATCTGGTCGTTTAAAACCGGACTTTAAAAGATAAGTGTCTTATTTTCTAAAAGCCCAGTTTACTACAAGCTTTTAGAGAACGTAAATTTATATGTAATTGTGTTTTTATGGAAATGCTAGCAGAAGAATAAATCCAATTTTCTGCATCAGCAGATAATTTTTAGCGATGATGCTTCCAGGATGACCTCAACAAATACACTCGTTTTTCACACCAAGGGATAATTCATTTTTTAAATAGGGAACGACGCTTCTGATACACTTCACCCCTACCTATAAAACTCCAAATTAATTAAGCCATCTGGAGTAGCAGGGGATGGGGAGAGAGGGATGGGGAAACACCATCACCATACTTTTTACACCCCTGTTACCCCATGCCCATTACTCTAGGGTTTTTAAACAGCCTCTATAGCTGTGAAAAGGTCCTGGCTGTGCCATTTAAACACAGCTTTTATTTTATTTGTGTTCTGCTACCTCAGACAGGAGGGAATTTGGAGATTTGTAAAGCATTTAGCATTTACCACGCTCACCTTGCAGCTCCAGGGAAGCGCAGGAGATGCTCCAGGTCAGAGCATCCACACCTTCCCGGCAACACCACTGAAATAGTTAATTTTTATGAACTACAAATGAACAAAGAGGAGTATTTTCAGAGACCCATCATGTTAAGTCTCACCAGGCAGTGGAAAAAAAAAAAATACCTAGAAATATCAGTGGAGAGAGGCTTATTCCATGTCAAATAGAGAGGTGGATTTTTGTTCAAATGCAGTTGAAAAAAAGAATTCAGAATTTCGGCAGCAGAAAGAGGTAATTTAAACCCCACAAAGGGACTGTGTTAAATTGGTTTATTCCCCTGCTGCTCTTATGAAAAGGATTTCATCATCCCATATTTAAAAGGACTTAAGAAGTACAACATGGGGAAGTAGTTTTGAGGTAGGAAGTAATAGATCCCCGAGACCCAGGTTTCTTTTCTCCTCTTTTTTGCAGGATGACATACCTACCCCTCAATTAATGCTGGAGCTGCAGGTTTAAAAGGCAAATAGCTCTCAGAAATCTGGAATCTCAGAATTCCTTTAATTCCGAGGCTGAATGACCACTTTGGGCTCCAGCAGAGGGATGCGCTGAGGTGATTTACGCCGCCCCACAGCAACAACACAAACCATCTGTGAACTAATACGTGTTTGGTTTTTACACTTACGGAGCTGCCGTACAATTCATTAGATAAATTCTAATTAAATTGCAATGAAATAGCATTCCTTACAGTGTAAACGACTCATTTCAAATGCACCTCCAAAACTGGGATGCAATCAGAGAAACTGATTTTGCCGATTCCAGGGAGGTATCAAGGCACCCGAAACACTGGTTTTAATGCAAAGAACAACTGGATTAAATATAAATAAAATCTTACTACTGCTGCTTTATTAATGATGCCTGGAAAGAGGACAGATCTCCGTATTGCATGCTGTGAATTAGGGATCCACAGTTCCAGCTGTGTGTCGGAGGGTGACAGATTCAGTCCTGCTTCTCAGCTCTTACATAAAACCAAGTTATTTGCATTCTAAAAATACATCTCTCTCTCTTTGGAAGTCTCTTCTAAGACAAGCTTTTTTGATCTGCAAAACTGTGCTGAATACATTCAAAGTAAGAATTTCTCTGGCTATTGCCAGGTTTCTGTGTGCTCAAGAGGAAAATTATACACAAGTATGTATTTAGATGTGTGTGTATATATATGTATACATATACACATACACATGTGTGTATATACATACACACACACATATAAATATATATATACACACACACAAATTATTTTCCAGTGATTACTGACTTGACCATTTCCTTTTCACAGACACCAACACCAGCCCAAATGCTGACTTTCCAGTTCACCCCTTCACTCCCTTCCAAGTGTGGGAGTTAACTGGAAAGCTACCAGGATATTTAGCATTTCTTTGGCTTTCCAAGAACCATTAAGATAGAACCATCCCAATAAACCCTTCGAGTTTCATTACGGGATCTCCGTGGGGGTTACACGGGAGCGTTAATCTGGAAATGGTGAATTCCAGCAGATGCTGGATCATATCCTCCTCTTTTAGAGATAAATTTCCCACTGGAGCAACCGATGAGACTGATGCCATGTCTCCCCGCACTTAGGGCACTACAATTCTGTGATTCTGTGAAATGGTGAATTCCAGCAGATGCTGGATTATATCCTCCTCTCTTTGAGATAAATTTCCTGCTGGAGCAACCGATGAGACTGATGCCACATCTCCCTGCACAGAGATGTCCACTGAATCCTTCCAACACATCCATAGGGCTGGTCATACCCTCCCACACGTCCATAGGGCTGTTCATACCCTCCAACACATCCATAGGGCTGTTCCTACCCTCCCACACATCCATAGGGCTGGTCGTACCCACAGCACCTGCATCAACCAAAGGGCTTGAAGCTGAACCTAAATTTAACTGAATGTCAGAGCCTTTTCTTGAGCTCATACAACCACTGACATTTCATTCACTTCTGTCCTTATCAACGTTAAATTACCCTTCGGCGTTATTAAATACTGCATTTTATATAATGTATATTTATATAATATAATGATTGAATTTACTGTCAAAGACCTATAAGAGGACTCTCTTTTTTGAAAACCCTGAGACACCAGAGCAAAATGTTAAGAGCAGGAATGAAGATGCCCTTCCTCCTCCATCACCATGAACGTCCAGGGGATAGGACGGCCCTTGGATTAGTCTGAACAGCACTGGAAGAAAAAATGGGAAAGCAAAAAGAAGAATAAAACCTAGAAACA